GTGAATACAGTATTCTGTTCACTACATCAATTACCCTGACCCCAGGGGGGGCAAAAGCCTCCCTGCTCACCCATTTACAGTGACAGCTGTCATGCTAATGAATTCACATTGACATTATAATTAAACCATTACACAAAGTGAGGCCTCACTCTCAGCTGTACAGCAAACACACACAAGGCCATTTTGGAAAGGTTGCCTATTAGATATAGAGTATAATAAGACGAGGTATCCCTCAAGTTTTGGAAGATGAAAAAGGCAGGCAGAAGGTGCAGACTTAAAGATGGATTAGGAAACAAGGACAACCTTTGAAGTGACTTTTAGTTCCCTTTTTAGAGTAGCTTTTTGCTGAAGTGGTAGTTTCATGGCAGATGAGCTTCCTGACAAGTCTCTTTTTGGAGTACATCTTAAGAGAAGGAGCATTGCAGGACAGCAAGCAACTCCACAGCAAGAGCCAGGGGCACAAAAATCCCCAAACCCTCCACATTCACTTCACTTGAACTAGAGATCTTGCACATCACCAGTCCAAAGAAAAATAAACAACCATAATAGACACCATTTATTTATGTATATTTATCTCAACTGGCCAAGAGGATCTGGGAGCAGCCAGGTACCAGATTTTCATTATGCTTAACAGAAGCCCTCTGCTCCACAGCAGCTCTGCAACTGCACCCAAGTCATAATCCTCCCAGATCTCCTTTGCATCCATGCACCCTTTTCATGTTTGGCCACCACTGACCAATAGTTTCACCTTAGAAGTTGCCGGGGGTTGGGGGGGGGGGGAGAGGGGATTGTGGTGGTAATGGATTGGATGGGTAGAGATAGCTTTATACTATTCAAAGAGCTGCTGCTCTTTTCAGACCCTAATGTAGGAGGCTGGAGAGCTACATAAAACCTTAACAGTGACTGAAATATTTTCTTCTAAGGAGGTACGAATTGCATGGTGCAACAGATGAGCAGCGTTCATCTCTACGTAGAGGTGCAATCTACAGAAGCAGTGTTATAAGCACCATGGCAGTAGGCAATTTGACAGTTTCAAGTTGGACAGTCTGGATTCAACAATACAAAAAGGCAATAAACCCGCATTTAGCTTATCAGAAGTCTCTCATTTGAGTCTGAGCACCAGAGGATTTAAAATAAATAACAAAATATTTTTGATTTCTTTTTTTTTGTTTTAATCTAGTGCATTCAAGTATAAGAATAAGTTCTGGGATGTTATTGCATGTTGCTATTTGGGAGAAAATCCTCACATATGAATACTGAAAAGCATTCAGCATAAGACTGTATCTCAGGCTTTCAACTTTGGTAAATTTAAGGATACAGATGACCTTCATCGGAAAGGATCACCTGAATTTACTTTGAGACCTTCGTGGTTGTCCTGAAGTGATTTCAGATCTATCAGAACAAAGAGGAATCAATGAATTTCTGGGACTATTTAGAGACCTCTGCATCTATACTGGAGATATTTAGCAGAATTCAGCCTTCACATAACCCAGCGATTCCAGACTTCATTTCTCTGTCCTGTTGCATCATTAAAAGCTGGATTATGGAGTTAAGCATGCACAAGCTGGGAGGTGCCAAAACCAAGGCTACCCTACAACTTCTGGATCAGCCCATGGGTGTATGTTACATCCCCTTTAGCTCTGTGCACATTCAGTACACAGGGTACATGGCCAGTCATGCAGCAGCCATCAGTAGAACATTACTATATTCTTATAAATCACAGGGAGAGCTGAGGAAGTGCACATTGGGAATATTGTGTAGCATCATGTAGTCTGCCACACAGATGATCAGAAGAGCTAAAAGTCTTAGATCCCCTATTATCAGATTAAGCCGCTCCAAAGGAAGTATTTAGTACTGCAAGGGAATATAACCTGACAAAGTTATAGGCAACTGAGAATTGGACCTTGATTAACAATTTCAACAATGGGTTGCACTTCTGGTCCTACGTACAGTACTGCTGCTGCATGAAAAGAACAAGATCTTGGAGGTTTATTTTAAATCAGCACAGTTTGCTTGCCTTCCCTAAGGCTGTGCAAGTCTAGAGAAGCTGGAGACTACCTATAATGTATGTTGTGTTATTCTGTTTTCCTAAACTGTACTTTTAATGATGGATGGGAGGCTGAAGCAGCTGATAACAATGCTAAATGGTGAGAGACCAAATATGCACCAGTAGCTCAGCTTAAACTGTGTAGCTGGGATAGAGCTGGGCTTGTGCTGGGAAACAGATGAAGTGTCCTGAGAGTACGTCAGCCCTGGAGCCCTGGAAACAGCTTTCTTTTGCAAAACATCCTTCTCCTGGGGGATGGGGCAGAGGGGAGAAAAAGGGACTTAAAATCCATGGGCATTATGGCTTTTAACCGAGGATGCAAATAATGTATCAATAAACAGAGTGATGCAAAACGTATTAAAGGTACATGCAATCGCACCACCCTACTCCTCAGTGAAAGGGGAAGCTGTACAGGTAGGGATGGCACCTGCTTCCACACTTTGTGCTACTTTGCTGTCCCCAGGACAGGTCCACCTATACGCTTTAGTAGGAATTTAGATCTTTTTAAAAGGACCTGACATTTTTACAAAGGGATCCTTCTCTTCCATACTCTGCATGCTGCACTTGGATGAAAGAAGGCTCTGGAGTCAAGTTAGGCCCAGCTTTACTCTTCTGAAATCAGTCTCGCTTTTCAGGGCCTGAATCAGGTGTCCCAAAGGCTCTTTTATAAAGACCTGTCTGCTGCAACCATTGCAGCCTGGTGCAACAACATTACATCTCAGTGCTAACTCATAATTTCAATGTATACATTTCACTGTCCTTTCTACAGAAGCTGTGGTGTCTGTCCTCTGGTGGGACAATTTGCTAAAAGCACCCCAAATCTACAAGTATTGACAGACCAGAGCATTACTTCTTTCCCCATCAGAACCTTTTCGCATGTGGGTAAACTCCAAAATTTTTACCCATGTCAGTGTGGTGGAACACTGGCTAAAAAGAGTTTCCCTCTACTTTAGTATATTTAGTAAATTGTGATGATAGGAGAAACATCATCAACCAACATAACACAAGAGTTTTGCTGTGAGATAGCTGATCCCAGCTGAAGCAAGACAACTTGAGCTGAAAGACTAAGTTACATGGAAGAAAGAGTTAATAGGGCTTCAGGATAAGGTACTCCAGCAAATAAATCCAAACATGAGTTTGTAAGCTTGCTTTTTGCTTCTTTATATATTAAGAACTAACATTATTCAAACACAGCATTTACCAACTCAGCATGTTTACAAAACATCGGATACTTCTGAACTACAGCCACCCAATGATATTTGGATTTGGGGCATTCAGTCAAGACAGAGATAGAAAAGGGATCAAAGAAGTCAGTATGCTGAAAAACCCATTTTTCCTCTATTCATCCATGCCAGTCCCAGTGACAAGAGCTGCTTTTCAGTGCCCCGTCCCTTTTTCCAGCTGGGTCCCAAAGATCCCCCCAGTGCAATCCCCACTGCCTGAAATTTTACAAGATCCCCACCGCTCTTCAATTACCTTCGTTGGCCTGTCAAGACTCCAGCATCTCAAATTCAGTTAGCTGGTGTTTGGACCTCCGCCAAGGGCCAGCCTTTGCTCCTAATGACAGCCAGCTGAGGGGACACTGAGAGGGGCTGAATTCAATTTGCAGGCCCTCTAATCTGATTAGGGGAGCAGGGTTTTTATTTTCTCCAAAGTTTGCAGTAGCCAGGATGAATGATGGCTAAAGGATGAGCTGTCAACATCAACAAAGGCTTGGAGACAAAGGGAAAAAAATGAGGGGGTATAACATATTTTATTTTAAGGAGAGAAATGAGCCTGCTCTGACTGACAGCATGGCGAGCTGTTGAGTGAATTGTTCAGGTGACAATGTTGTGTTTGCAGAGTGTCACTCTGTGTGGGCTGTGAAAGCAGGAATGGATCCAGCTACTGGGCAGATGTCAAGCAAATTCCAAGGACTGCTGTTCTTTTCTAAATAGAATATCACACTATTCTCCCATCCTTGTGTAAAATATGTAACGCTTCCTCCGTTTTCTACTTCGTGATGCTCTATTACAAGTACTAAGCTGTAAAAAGCCCCTTATTATATAGCCACACACAGTCTTCATTTTTCATTCTTGTGCATCTGAGGGTTTTGCCTTACTGGGCTGATTTGAGCATCACTCGGCTAAAGGCAGTATCTCTTCACATTCAAGCACTCAAGCATACAAGTTTTATTTGCTTCACTTCATAATACAGTTATAACAAATTCTATCACCACTTTCTCAATATAGTTTTCTTAATGCTTGAAAACTTGTGGTGCACTCAGTTAATCTGTAATGATATAATTTTTGCAGCATTGGAATATGAGCCTGGAGGAAGACAGTGGGGCTATGACCTTCTGCAGCCTCTGCTTTTCCTCTCGCAACACCCAGCATGGCACATTCAACACAGCTATGGGCTCCCTTGCTAATTCTGCAGATGCTTATTTCTATTCAGGTTACCACTACCACAACTGCTTCACCCAAGAGCAGGAAGACAGGCAGCGCTCAGAGATGACCAAGCACACGCTGGTCATGTCCCAAGAGCTTATATGCCAGCCACAGGAAAAAGGGAGCCCAGCATCCTGTAGGTGAGCAACACCATAGTCTTGTGAAGGGGCACAAAGCAGTTGCATCATTGCCTTAGCATCCAAAACTGGGAGATTGTCATTAAGTTATCTTAGAAACAGGTTTCAAAGACAGAAACCAGTAGAAAACCCAAGGAGTGCTTATGATGGTGAAGAGACTGTTGATGAAGCCAGAAAGAGGCAGAGAGAATTAAAACAAACATGGTAATAATTCTCCTATTCTATAGGCAATACCTGGTGCATAGGCTGCCTTTCTAATGGGAGGCTCACTTTGCTAGCAGTTTTGACTCACTTGCCACCCTGAAGTATTTCTGGGCACTCACCTCAGGTAAGACTTCCCTCAGCTTTGTAAACTGGTGATGGAGAGCTGGCTTTCTGGGCACTCACCTCAGGTAAGACTTCCCTCAGCTTTGTAAACTGATGATGGAGAGCTGGTACAGGGGTATCTCTCAGCACCTTGCAGAGCTCAGAGGTCTTCTGTGCTTGAGAGTTGAGGCTTAGCATTTGGGAAGCAGCTTGTTGTCTCATCAAGGATGTGCTTTCTGCCTCTGTCCATATTCAGAGCCTCTGCAAAAATAAGTTAATGTTCACAAATGCTCAGCTGGAACCTATTAGCTTGTCTGCAAAGATCCCTGATGGTCCCTTGCTCTAACCTCCCTCAGTTCTTGCATTCAAATGGATTAGGCTGTCTCCACAGAACATCCCAAGGCTAAAGGGCCAGGCAAAATGTTTCTTGTAATCATTCTTCCTGTAGTCTTTTCTCCTGTCTATCTGGGACCTCCATGGAGCCAGACAGGAGAGCTGACAGCAGGAACGCTGCCTACGCTGTGCCCTCCACTTCCCTTGTTAATGCTTTGGCAGAGAAGAATGAGAGCAGCCTGACAAAGGCACGGAGGGGTGAATAAGTAGGGAGAAGAAAGGAGAGGGGGAGATGAAGCTTAATAAGTGAGGAAAATGCATAGGAAAAGAGATACAAGATAGGCTCAGATGTGGATGCATAGGCAGGAAGGGCAGCAGTTAGGAGGAGCAATTTTGGAACAGGAGTAGTAAAGAAGCCACACTGGCCTGCCAGAACCTGGAGTCAGCACCCCAAATTATTGCCTTTCCTTCCCTATCAGAGGATGCCTGCGAACATCCTATTGCTCGTAGCAGTCTAATAGCAATAATACAGCTCTGACCTCTTACATTGTGAGCTACATCGTGAGCTCAGGAAGTGCAAGAACCATTGCACAGACTTATAGATCCCATTTCAGGCAAGAGAATCAGCGCAATGGCACAGGATCACATTTTACTCTTCTCAACATGCTTTGAATGTGATATGGGTAGGGAATTGCAATCTAAATGACATGTTGGTGAAAAGGAAAGGCTGCAAAACCAAATACCCTAATGTTAGAAAGTGGCAGAACTATTTATGCTTATGATAAGTAACTGATGCTCCCTCAATCTGAAAAAGGCATAATGTTTTCAAGAAAGCAATATCCCCTATATGGAGAATATTACTATATAATGGCAAAAGATATAATCCCTTTCATGGCTTGCTGAGATCTTTTGAGTTCAGCTTCATGATAACCTGTGCAGTGAAACTGTCGCCTGTGCTTGTTCATTGTTTTGTATTTTTATTGAGAACAAACTGACCAGTAACAGATGCCCCCCCTTTGTATTGGCATCCATCCATTCAAAAAACATTACAAAACTACAGAACACTATCAGCCCATCAGTAATGTTACAAGTTAGATGCCGTTATTATAGAATATGGATATTCCATATTCTATAACCACCTTTGGAGATTAATAAGACCCCCAAAAGCCAAGCCAACTCCATCAGATAACGAATGCAGATGGAGAAAGCACCGAATATCCTAAAAAGCTGATAGATGACGAAACTTCAAAAGATGCTGCATATTCTTATTAGATCTCATTTGAGGTGATTCATGCAGTTACTCCAGGGGAACATTTGGCCCATTATTCATAACATCCAGAAGATGAGGAATAACACACTTAATTGAAACCCTTGTCAAAATGAAAAATTAATTATCTTTCAAAGATTCTCTGTCAAACTGTCACTTTCTATTTGCCACACAGGGGCAATATCAGCAAAATAGCTCTTCAAGTCCCTGCTACCAGCAAGTCTATTATATTATGTACAAGTAACGAATGCAGAAGAGGCCAAGTCAGGAATTATGCGATGAAGAATAATCAGAAAAAGTCTGCTCCAAACCCAAACCTGTTTCAGGAGAGTGTGGCAAAAGCATCAGGCATTTCAGTTTAAGCATGGATATCTTCTCGAGAGGCAGGAAGGGTCACCAAAGAACTACCGGAGGGTCCAACAGCCCCGGCACTCCCCCAGCTAGGGAAAATCTAGGCTCTGCTTTGAGTAAAAGCAAAGAAAATCTATGCTGAAAGGAAGGACCATGAGGTCATTGTCTGGTTTGGCTTCCTACTGCCTCTGCAAACAGTCCAGAGACCCTCCAGGGGAACAGAAACCAAGGAGGGTGACTTTCAGGTATCAAGATCTACTGAAGGATGGTACAATGATTTTGTGGCCATCCCTTTTCTCAACCAGCTGTAACAGCAGTTCAGGCAGGACTCACACCCCTCCAATTCCATGAGCCCTTTTCCACAGGGATAGACAAGGAAAACTAAACAGAGCACTTTGATAGCAGGCACAGATGACTCAAGACAATGGCCGTCTGCCCAGACCCAACCAGGAGTATTCATGCAGTTTCTAAGGCTTCCTCAAGCAAAGATCAACAGTTTCCAATCACCCAGGTATTTGCTTTCTCCCCTGCCAAGCACTAGCCCCAAGAGAAAGAGCAAAGTCCCAAGTGCCTGTTAAAGACCCCAGTCTACCAAACCTAGAGCATAGCAGAGAAAGACCCCTGGCTTTTTTCACTTGCGCCACATTATCACAGAAAGGTGGATTAGAAGTTATCTCAGCTCTGCTTTCTTTCAGAGCTCCTTGGCAACGCAGCCACCAAGATATAAATATGCACACACAAAAATTTGCAGCAGGCGTATGTGCATGCACACACACAAACCAATAGGCAAAAGTATTTCAAGGCGCAGGGCAGATATGGCCGGGAAGGCAAAGGAGTTACGGAGATTCTGGGAAGAGGGGGAAAATAAGGGAGATTTTTCTACTGTCTTCCCAATATTTAGGGGTTTTTGAGGGTCAAAACCCAGTCACCTTGGAAAGTCAATAACTTCACAGCTGTATCTACCACCAGCAAGCTTCACACACATTGCAAGAGTCAGATACAGCTTCAGGCCTTCATTGTATAGAATACCATTTAGATGAAGAAGACCTAATTCTACAAATTTACAGAATTACAAAGGACCAGCAACAGTTTCAGGCCTACATTGTATAAAATGTAATTTAAAGGAAGATGACATAATTCTGACTGAAGTAAGGCTGACAAAGGACCAACTTAACCTGGGTACTCAATAGTACACTGATCAAAGGGCTCCAGGCAAGGGAGCTCCCCATCCTTGAAGGCAGTAGGCAAGTAGCACTTCATGAACTGTTTATTACTTTTATAGACCTCAGGTGGCAATTAGCACCTGCACCAAAGTCAGGGACATGGAGGATAACGCATTGGTATTACCATTTGTGATCACCATAGTAACAACACAGCAGAATAATAAACACTAGGTACACATAAAATAACCTTCAGTGTCCTGTGCAAGAGGGAGACCAACACACTGCTCTCACTCATTATGCTCATACCCCAAAATGGCAAATTAACCCACCATACCAAGTCCCTGTGCACAGCAAGTGACAGCCCTCACCTCACTATCTAGCTCCACAAAGTCCTGAAAGCTTTTCTTCACAAAGGCCAAGATGAAAGCCAGTCACCACAAGGTTCTTATACCCTTGCTTTCTCCCTTGTCAGCAGTGAGGACCCTCCCTTTCCTTTTGGGTGGGAGTTTTCCTACAATGATGGGTGTTGATGCACTCAGACACCTGAAGCAGATACTCTTTCTCCTTGGTCAGGTGGGACAGGGATATTTGGCAGGGCATTTTAGTATCTTCTGGCTCACAGTTCTTGTCCTCAGACACAGGGGAATCTCTGCTTCCTAATGAGCAGCACCAGGCTGGGAGAGAGAGCAAGCATATCAAAAAAGCAGTGCTGGAAATGTCTTTCAGCTTGTACAAGCTCTCCCCTTGTAGTGGGTAAGGGGCTGTTCATCAGCTGCTCCTATAACTCTTTTCTTTATGTGTGTACAAACTGTTTACATATTGAATGTTGTGCAATAAGATGAAGAAGTATTTATTCTGAGATGTTTATATTAACCCTTCTGAAGCCAAGAGCACTTGTGCTAAGAGTACTTGGATCGCAAGAGCTAACTGTGGTCCAGACCCTTCTGTGGCTCAGCTTTGTTATTGCAAGCAGTATGTCTGAAGTCCACGTGGCTCCTGCTGTTATTGAGGAAAGCACAAATACAAGACTTTGCAGTGGAACAACACAGTCCTGCAAGTGGAACACGTCCATCAAGAAACCCAGGCTCCAGGAAGGCAGAGAGAGGGAAAACCTCACTGATTCTGCTTTACTTACAGGGCTTTTTAGAGAGGAAAGAATCAAACAGAACCCAATTTGTCGTGAAGCAGAAGGACTCTTGGTTCATCACTTGGAAAAATGTACCAATCCCACTATTTCCCTGCTTTATGATTATGACTTTTTTCTTTCTGCAACTTTAGAAACCGTCATCACTTACATTCATTCCAAGTTTTGAAGCTAGTATTTAGATCCAGGTATCAATACTGAATGCAAATTTGGTAGAACAGAAGGTAATTCCTTGGGAAAAAAAAAAAAAGTATTATAGTTTTCTCCTCAGTTCACTTCCTTTCCCTGCCTACGCATCCATGCCAGGGTCATAAGTATCCACTTCTGGATGTTTTTTTAGGCATCTTTCAGACTGTCATCCATTTCTTCTGAGATACCTCATGAAGTGCCATTTCCAAATGTTATTACTCTAACATGTCTCTTTCTGGTCCTGCTGGTCCCCCGGGTCTCAGTCAACATCTGGCTGGGTGACCTGCTCCGCAGTCCCTTATGGTTTGTTTTGTAGGAGCTGATATCCTTCACCATGAAAGAAGATCAAACTCTTCCCTTTACATGAGTCTTCATTAGTGAATTGCTGTATCACGGTCCTTTTATGTTTAATCTGCTCAATTAGTTCAAATAATGAATTTACTGCCAGGGAAGTTTACAAAAGCAGATCATTTTAAATAAATACTCACTAAGTAAGTAGTCACTAAGTGCACTCGAAACCTCCATGTGCTCACCCCAGCAGGCAAAGAGCTATGCAGGGGAGTGGCTGCAGACACTGCCACTATTTCTGCGCTAGACAAGGGAAAGGAGGACTCCAAGCTTTGGGAAATCCCTGCTTTAGTCTCAGCTGCCTTTTGGTATCAGGCATTTGTAAAGAGCTATTAACAGTTCATTCCCAGGAGAGCTGCAGGTTAGATGTTACTTGTGTACATTACCTGTCACATTAAATCTCATCTTCCATAAAGCTCTCACAAAAAGCAGAATACATTTACACGATTGTAATAAAGGCAGAATGTTTTTGATGAATGAGGTACTACCGTTTTGCCTTAAACTAGGAATTACTGACAAAGTAGTGCATTTTATTTCTGTGTTTTGTACACAGCCCTTGGAGGTAAGGCATGTTCAATGGCATGCTTTTCTTACAAATCTGGCTTAAGCGACAATGAATTCTTTCAGGAAATATCTTTGTTCAGCTAAAGAGCTCATCTTCCAAAGCTCTGAAATTACTTGGTGTTTTGGAAGATGTTCATTCCACAGTATTGATGGCATGCTTGCCTTTCTGCAGGTTTTTGCTCTCATCATTTTCTTTTTATCTAAAAAAACAGATAATTACATAAATTTTTAATATAAGGTTTTAACAAAGAGACTGAAATTTCTGGTTTAAACAATCTCCTTTAGGCAGGTAAAGCATTTTCTTTTCAAGGCATCAGAATTAATACCTTGAGAATTCTTTCAAAAAAGTAAACAACAGCAGAATAAAATGAAACAGGGAAAAAATAGTTTTCATACTTCTTTACTCTGAAACTGTTAGGCTAATGCTGGAAAACCATAAAAAGTTATAAGAAAGAAGAACTTTCCTGTCTAAATTGTCTTAATTTTCCTGTGGGTCTAGTTCTGGGTAGGGTTCTTTTAAGTCCATATTGTGATTTTGAATATTGAGAGTCTCCACTATTGTCCCAGTGGGTAGCTTTCAAGGTGTGGCAAGACCTCCCTTATCAGCATAGGAAGTTTGAATGTCTTCATATTTTGTAGACCTGGACCCACTTACAGGTTTTACATGTTCTTTTCAAATAGAATTCACTTTTTTCTAGATTTTTAGAAATGCATTTTAGATACAATATTCTGTATTTATAGATTTAGAATTCTGTTTTTAGATATAATATTTTAGATATTATATATTTTAGCAATACATTTTAAATATCATGGTGCAACACAGAGCATTGGCTCTACAAAACACTCCACAGGAGAGGACACAGAGTCCCCCGGTACTTGGTGGGACATCTGGGTGCTTCAAAAGGGACACAGTGCTTATGTCCTGTGTCTAAAATCAAGAAAGATGAGCATGGATTCAGAAGAAACCCAAAACCTATCTCAGTAATACCATGAATTTTAAGGGTAGCCCTTAGCCTGTGGATTTACTTGATTTTCATTGAAATTCTAATGCCAAAAACATTAGGAAACCTACTTGCTGTCCCTTAAGCACTTCCCCCAGCCTTGGAGGAAAGGTCAAGGTTATTATCCATTGTAATCCATCATGAGGAATTTTCAGACATTCAGCAATGATGCTTTAGTCATTTTTTGTGCCACCTTAAGCTCTATGACCGCGTACTGTTTTCCAGGCAACGATAGCAGATAAACCCCTTAGTTCAAGTACCTGCTACCTGGGTCAGGAAAGCCACATCCTCCTATAACATACATATATATATATATATATATACACATAAGTAAGAGAGAGGGGGCAAGACAATTTCTCAGCAGCTCTCAGAAGAAAGCTCTTTCGTGATGAAATTTTTACTTAAGAGCTCCTAAATCAATTGCTCCCAGGCAAGGGAAGGAGGAGGGAGAATGAGGAAGGCTGTATTCTCCCTGCTCAGCAGTTTCCCACTGCCCTCCTGTCCTCCCTCCCCTCCCAATCAGTAGGTTGTAGGCAGGGCCTGGGGTCAAAACAAAGAGCTGACCCCATGGCAGGGCACCTTGGGGTGCTAGAGTGGGCAGTGAGGACCTCGGCTGGTGATGCTGAAACATGTAGCTCTGGTCCCTTTCCACCATGTTTCCTTCCAGCAGGGCAAGAGCAGGGCTCCCATATCAGTTTAGCATACCAGAGACTTAGAGGGGCTTACCAGGCTGCTCTGTTTAGGGGATAAAAGATGGGAGCTTGGCAGGAATAAACATGTCACTGGGGGAGCCTGCTCCATGGGGCCTGATTTCCCTCTCGTGTCGACTTGCTGCTGGCGCAGCTCCCCAGATGCCGCAGCACTAATCCTGATTTATGCTGAGTTTTGGTGGGCACAGGACCAACCAGAGTAGCATACAGGCATGCTGCTTCCCCTCACCTGGGCACACACTGGTGCTCAGGAGGAGGGAAAACTTGTTTAGTAATTAAAGTGATTTTCTAGCTTTTTGGATGGGTGCACATGGCTTCGTGTGAGTTTGCATCATTCAACGCTGATGGGACTCAGTGCATGTGCCAGGGAGCCTAGTGATCCCAGTGCTCAAAGCGATCAGGAACAGGAGGGATAAGCTCTGCTCTGCTGCTTCCCCTGAAGTTAGGTTAGCAAAATCAGCTGTGATTTTGAAGCACCCCTGCCTAGAAGTGTCTACAGGTCATGCTTCTCAATGCCCTCACTTTCTGCCAGGGAGGCAGCATACAGTGGCTGCACCATCCCTGAGATGCATGTTGTCTTCTAAAGCCAGTAGAGGACTGCTCACATACCTTCCTGACGGGAGCACTGGGATAAGGAGGTCATTTATTTATGGCAGCTCTGAGATGCTTGTAGGAGAGATAACAGAGCATCGAGCTCGCCCTCAGCAATAGGTTTGCTTTCAAATCTCCAGCTCTCGATTTACAAATGCAAGGCTGGCACCAGTGTTTCCATGTTGTTTTGCGCACAGCACTTAGATCTTTGGTCTTTCCCTAAGAGTAGGGGGAAAAGATTCCCAAGTTTACAAAGGGTCCTTGTGAGCTTTCCAAAGATGTCTGCTCAACAGCACTAGCGCTCCTTCAGCACCGGCCCTGGGCAGCCAGGCACACCTAGACAACGATTCATCCCACTGCCCCCATTGCACAATGCACAGAGTATTGTCTCCCTCAGATCTTGATGGAAGTCCACCAAAGGCAAATCCCTCCTGGAGGTATTTTTGAGGGGAAGTTACTGCTCACCCCCCTTCCCCACCTCTTCCCTCTGATCGGTTGTGGCAGTTTGAGCTGAGAAACCACAAGGTCCCTCGCAGATGTTTGGTAACACATCAACGGCCCGGCCCAGCACAATGTAATGCAATTCCCCCCCAATCTCCCTCAGACATTACCTAATTGATAAAGGGGCCGCCCCGCGCCGTAGCAGCTCCCTCCCCAGCTCGTGCGACACAGCAGGGCTCTGTTCCCTTTTGCCATGACATCATGCCGGCGCTTGCCACCCATGCATCATGCTGCCTGCGAGCTTCCTCTTCCACCCCAGATAAACACGGCCGAGACAAACTCCCTCAGCAACACAAGAAAAAAGCTAAAAAAAGGATTACAAAACCCCACAACTTTCTGCAGCTCCTGCCCCAGACCCTCATTCCTGCCTGGGTTGTGGTGAGAGCTGCTGGATGGGGTTTGGATGTGGAGCCCGTCTGCGGTGGCCTCCAGCTTTCCACTGTTTGCTGGCAAAATCCAGAGAGGGAAAAGGCTCAGAAGTGCAAAGTTTCTGCTATAACTGCCAGACACAAATACCAAAGTTACTCTTGCTTATACAAGTGTGCATGCATCAGTGGAGTTT